TGTTGGTTTTCTAACTCCAGGTCTTTGCACATTTCATTATAGTTATTGGCTTTGTCTGCTTGAGCTGCTCTTTGAAATCTTCTGTTCAGCCCTTTTATCTTGTCATTTCTTCCATTTGCTTTAGCTACTCTGTGTTCAAGGGCAAGTTTCAGAGTCTCTTCTGACATCCATTTTGGTTTTTCTTCCTTTCTCTTCTTTTTAATGACCTCTTTCTTTCTTCATGGATGATGTTCTTGATGTCATCCCATAATTCTTCTGGTTTTTGGCCATTGGTGTTCAGTGCATCAAATATATTCTTTAGATAGTCTCTAAATTCAGGAGGAATATATTCCAGGTCATATTTTGGCTCCTGTGGACTTGTTTTAATTATCTTCAACTTCAAGTTGAATTTGCGTATGAGCAGTTGATGATCTGTTCTACAATCAGCTCCTGGCCTTATTTTGGCTAACATTATTGAGCTTTTCCATTGCCTCTTGCCACAGATGTAGTCAATCTGATTCCTGTGTCCTCCATCTGGTGATGTCCATGTGTATAGCCGCTGTTTGTGTTGTTGAAAAAAGGTATTTGCAATGAGTAAGTCGTTGGTCTTGCAAAATCCTATTATGTGGTCTCCAGCATTATTTCTGTCACCAAGGCCCAATTTTCCAACTACTGGTGATACTTCTTTGTTTCCAACTTTTGTATTCCAGTCATCAGTGATAATAATGAACACATCTTGATTGCATGTTAGGTCAATTTCAGGCTGCAGAAGTTGATAAAAATCTTCAATTTCCTCATCTTTGGCTTTGGTGGTTGGTGTGTAAATTTGAATAATAGTTGTATTAATGGGTCTTCCATGTAGGCATATGGATATTATCCTATCACTGACAGCATTGTACTTCAGGACAGATCTTGAAACATCCTTTGTGAGGATGAATGCCACTCCATTCCTCTTCAAACTGTCATTCCTGGCATAGCAGATCATATGGTCGTCTGATTCAAAATGGCCTGAACCAGTCCATTTGAGCTCATTAATGCCTAGGATATCAATCTTTATGAGTTTCATTTCATTTTTGACAACTTCCAGTTTTGCTAGATTCATACTTCATACATTCCATGTTCTTATTATTAATGGATGTTTGCAGCTGTTTGTCCTGAAACTGAGTTGTGCCATGTCAGCAAATGGTGGTTGTGAAAGCTTTACTTTATGCATATAATTAATGTTGGTTCTACTCTGATGATGCAGCTCTTTCCCAGTCATATTTTGAGTGCCTTCTGACCTAAGCGACTGGTCTTCCTGCACTGTATCAGGCATTGTTTCAGGGCTATTCATAAAGTTGACCAGTAATGTATGAGACAGTGTTTCTCTGTTATTCATGAGATTTTCCCTGGCAAATTTTTTGAGAAGTGGATGGCCTCTTCCTTCTTCCTAGTCTGTTTCCGCCTGTAAGCTGCATTGAAACCTGTACACCATGTGCACTTTGCTGGCATTTGAGGCACCGGTGGCACAGCCTCAAGCTTCACAGCAACACTCAATCCACCACAGTGTGACAAACTGACAGACAAGTTTATCTTCCTTAGCTGTTTGAAACCTTTCCACCCTTCCCTTACCTGGATCCCCCAGCTCTGTCTCAGTCAGGCTTTTCTCCACCTTCCTCCTCTTGGGTGTGTAGCCTATCTCCCTCCCCTTACCTGAGATGCCATGGCTCTGTCTTGCCTGGCTCCTCCCTCGCTACCGGATGGGTGCCTGGCCTGTCTGCCTGCCCTTACCTGGGTTTCTGGGGCTCTGTCTCAGCCCCAGTTCCTCCCCCACCTCCCGTGTCTGGGTGCTTGGCCTGTAGAATCTTGGTAGCAGATACCTAAACTTTTAAGTATACTTTACATCTACTCACCATATATACATACATACATACACACACACACACATATATATACACACACACACACACATATATATATATGTATGTGTATGTGTGTATGTGTGTGTGTGTGTGTGTGTATAGTGTAAATGCATGCCACTGCTGACCTAAAGGTGGGCAATTAAAACTAACCACCCAACAGTGCCATGAAACAAAGCCTCAGCAATTTGCTTCCATGATGAGTACAACCAAGAGAACCCTATGGAGCAGTTCTACTCTGTAACATATAGGATCACTATGAACTGGAATCAACTTGGATGGGTTTATTTTTGGGAGGTGGGGGGTGGGGTGGCAGGGAGAGGTTTGCTTATACACACATGAAACTTATAATAGCATTCTCTTGGGCAACAAGACCACATTGGTACCCTAACTGAAGGTAGGGGTAATAAAGCACATTATTACCTTTATAAGTGTTCAGTAAATATTTGACATAAAATGTTTATGATTAGTTTAAATTATATAGTCCCCCTGCAAGACAGAGGGTGGAAAATATCTATAGATGTACTCGGAAGGAAGGTTGGGCAATCCTACTTCCGTAGTGATACTGCCTCGGAAACCCAAGGAGGGGTCGCTATGAGTCAGGGCTGACTCGACGGCACATAACAACAACAACAAGGCATTTAGTGGAATTTTTTGGAAAGAAGTTAAAAGTTTTTACTATGCAAACACATAAAAAATTTGTTTTGGATGGAGGGCTTATATCATTAACAAGAACTGCTTAAAATGTCTGCGTGCTTGCTTTTTAAATAGACTTTATTTTCTAGAACAACTTTAATTTTACAGAAAAATTGTCCAAAAAGTGCAGAGGTAGTTCCCTGTATAACCTTCCTCTCCTCTGTACACAGTTTCTCCTGTTGCTAACATTTTATATTTGCTATTACATTTACTACCATTGATAAACCAATATTGACACATCATTAACTAAAGTCCATAGTTTACATTAGGGTTCAATCTGTGTTGTATGAGTTGGATCTGATTCATAGCGACCCCTCCTTGGGTTTCCAAGGCGGTATCTCTCTGGAAGTAGATTGGCCACTCTTCCTTCTGAGGAGTGGCTGGTGGGTTTGAACCACCAGCCTTCTGGTTAACAGTTCAATGCCTTAGACACTACACCACCAGTGCTCCCTATAGTACTATGGGTTTTGACAAATGCATCATGTCATGTATTACGATTAAATATCATAGAAAATAATTTCACTGCTTTCAAAATCCCGTGTTCTACCTGTTCATCCCTTGGCCTTCCCTCTGGTGTGGTGGCAACCATTGATCTTCTTATTGTCTCTTTAGTTTCGCCTTTTCCAGAATGCCATATAGATAGACTCATATAGTATATAGCTTTTTCAAACTGTCTTCTTTCATTTAGCAATATGCACTGAAGTTTCCTCCATGTTTTTCATGACTTGATAGCTTATTTGTTTTTATCATTGAATTGATTTTTATCCACTGTACAGGTGCTCCACAATTTGTTTATCCATTCATCCTTCACAGGACATTTTGACTGCTGCCTTTTTTGGCAATTACGAATAAAGCTGCTGTAAACATTTGTGTACAAGCTTTTATGTGCACATACGTTTTCAAGTCATTTGCCTTGACTTGTAAATGCCTGGGAGCGTAATTGTTGGAATGTTTGGTAAGTGAGTTTAGCTTTGTAAGAAGCTTTAAGACTGGCTTCTGAAGTGGCTATAACATTTTGCTTCTTACCAGGAACAGAGCTCTCCTTGGTGGTGCAGTACATAAGCGCTCAGCTGCTAACCAAAAGGTGGACAGTTCAAACCCCCCAGCTGCTCTGTGGGAGAAAGATGTGGCAGTCGGCTTTTGTAAAGATTACAGCCTTGAAAACCTTATGAGAAGTTCTGTTCCACCCTGTAGGGTTGCTAGGAGTTGGAATGGACTTGATGGCAACAGGTTTTGGTTTGGACCAACAGTGCATGAGAATTCCTGTTGCTCCACATCTTACCAACATTGGGTGTTTTAAGTGTTTTAGATTTTAGCCATTCCAGTCATGAGTCAGAGTTGACTCACCAGCAACTGTTTTTTTTTTTTTTTAATGTGTCACATGTGTGTGTTTGAAATAGGTATATAGTGACATCTCATTGTTATTTTAATTTTTACTTCCTTGATGGCATACGATATGATATCCAGCATCTTTCCATGTACTTATTTGCCACTTGTATATCTTTTTGAGGTGTCTGTTCAGATCCTTTGCTCATTGTTTAATTGGGTTGTTTTTGGAGTTCTTTGTATATTTTGAATACAGTGTGTCTTTTTTAGGTGCAAATGTTTGTAAATATAAGATTTGTTGTTCTACTTTAAAACTGTTGCATAATAATGGTTTTTAATCTGAGAACTTGAAAGGGAGAGAGAACAGATAAAAATGATTTAAAAATATCTATCTTAATAATACTGGAAATCCGCTGGAGCAGTGGTTAAGGCATTTGACTTCTAACCAGAAAGTCAGTTGTTCAAAACTACCATCTGATCTGCAGGAGAAAGAGAGGGCAGTCTGCTGCTGTAAAGATTTACAGCCTTGGAATCCCTATGGGGGTCACCATGAGTTGGAATCAACTCAGTGGCAGTGAGTTTTTTTTTTTTTTTTTTAATCTTAATAGTATAAGGTGACTTGTAGAATATATATTGGATGAAAGTCCATAATTATTCATGCAAAAGGATTTATTGAAAGACTGCAAGCTATTACTGTGTTAAGAGTTTGGATTACATTCTGTCTTGTTTTTTTCTTCTATCCTTTTTCCAAAGAAGTAGAGAAAGGCCTGGTTCTAGGTGAGTTTTAAGACCTATAGTTATTATGAGAGTAAAGCTCTAAAATAGATCCAGATCTTTATTATGTAATAAACCAAAATGTTCATGTTCTAAAAAATTATTTGCTAATTGTCTCTTGGGTTCCAGCTAGTATTGCTAAAGGAAAATAAGAGTGTATATTGCTAATATCTTTGTAGTAGCCTAGATTACTTAAAGCATTTTATGTTCTTTTATACCTTGACAGGTTGGTACAGAGGATATACCCTCCAAAATAAATCTAAAAAGGTATGGCTTATCATTAAAAATTTTTTTTTTTATCACTTTGAAATGTCTATTAGTTTTGTGTTGTGCTATCCAATCCCATTTTCTGCTCTCTGCTTTTTCTAACTTGGTTTGTTTTCTCTTTGATGGCTGTTCTTTAGATTTCAAAACAAATTCTCTGACCTCAGTGCTCAAATAAAATAGAGTGAATTGCAGCTACTGTATTTCCCACTATCAAATTCAAGGATCAAGGCCCAGACGTGAACTTAGAAGCCCCTCTGCCACCTCTTTCTCCCTGTACATCAAGCTAAACTGAGTGGTGACATGGTATCATTTCCTATAGTTGGGTCTCTGTTTCAGTGAGGACCTGTGCATATTCCTTTATCACTTAGTTCCAGTGCTAAATTTCTAGAATTGAAGGATCTCCCATTTCCACTTGATTCTTTCCTTCATTGTAAAATGGATAAACTAGAGTAGGGTTTTCAGACTTGAGCCTCATAACCACAGTAGTACATCATGAAAAAATTCTAGTGGTTTATAACCAACATACTGAAACATATGAAACTGAAAGTATAGAAGAGAATATAGAACACTGTGGTTCCTTCATGACCCTTCTGTTTTAGGTATATACTTTTATGAATATATGTTGCTACTAAAATGCATGCCTTACTATTAGGTGTGGCCAAAGGGTTTGAAAAATACTGAACCAGAGGATTCTATTCCTAGTGCCAAAGCTACTAATCATCAAGCTAAAGAAAAATCTATTAAATATCTTAATACCCCTCTCATCTTATTTTCAGCCAGGTCAGCTCTTTTCCTTGACACTGCAGCCAGGAGCAGCACAGCATGTCAGCACTTTGTTTTGAAAACACAAAGTTGTTAGGGCCTTATAATTACACAATTAGTGCACATGCCAAATAGAAAATTAGGAAAAGGGTAAGAGAAAATTTACTAAGAAACATTTATCAAGAGATAAGTAAAAAATGTCTCCAGTTTTTATTCTTCAAAAAGTAGCATAAGTTAGAAGTAATCCTTGCACGCACATAGGCTGATGGCCACAAACCACTCACAGGAGTAAAGAGCCTCAGAAAACATCTTTCTACAAGGTTCTTGTTCCACTTGAGTCGACGCCAACTCATGGCAACTCCATGTGTGTCAGAGTAGAGCTGTGCTCCACATAGTTTTCAGTAGCTGATGTTTTTAGAAGTATATCACTGCCCTTTCTTCAGACGTGCCTCTATGTGGACTCGAACCATCAACTTTTCAGTTAGTAGCCAAGTGCATTAACCATTTGCACCACTGAAGGTCCCTATGTAGGGTACAGGCCATTAAAAGCCAGGACTTTCTGGTCCAACTTTCCATATTATTGAATCTTAAGCCACACTCAGTGTTTGCATATGTATTGTGTGCACATAGCACTTTGTTAACTTTTACAGTTTAATGATGTGCCACATAAAGGTGTATTTACTTTTAATGCAAGTATCAGTGTCTCCAATATAAGTCCTTTAGTCCCTCCCCAAGTCCTGTTGCTGAACTTTGCTATCTACAGTTAGATTTGTATGCTGTTTTGTTATACAGCTTAATTATTTTGGGTCAATCTCATATTGACTTTAATCTCTCCAGGCCTTCAAATGAGGACCTTGCTGAGGTGGCATACATTCCTGTGTGAATAAGAGCATGACCAGATGAGAGAGAAAGAAGAAAGTGAATACCTCTCTCTCTTTTAGACTATAGAATATGGCCACTTCTGTGCCTTGGTTGATGCTTAACCCTATCAGTGTTCACTTTACTCATAGATATAGAAATGGGAGTTACCTCACACTATGATTAGAGTTAGCAACTTTGATGTTCTAAATTTGTTAAAGAGCAAGAATACTTAAGCCATTTAATTCCCGGTCCTTTAAACAAACTCAAAAACCAAACTCACTGGCATCAAGTTGATCCCGACTCATAGCGATCCCTCCTTGGGTTGCCGAGACAATATCACTACGGAAGTAGATTGCCCAATCTTCCTTCTGAGGAGTGGCTGGTGGGTTTGAACCACCAGCCTTCTGGGTAGCAGCAGTCAAGTGCCTTAGGCACTAGGCCACCAAAGCTCCCATAGCTCCCTTTAAAAAAGCAAGTTAATTTTAAAAATGAACAAAGTACCACTCGCAGACAAAATCATTTGCACTGAAAGAACAAGTAAAACTTTTAATTTTTAAATGATAAATGTCAATGTCAGTCACTTTGAAACAGGTTCCCAGACCACAGATTTTCCCTTTTGGAAAGTCTACAGTATTTACGTATCCTTTTCCAGCATAGAAGGCCTTTGTTTCTAAGGCATCTTATGATTTCCCAATATATCAAAATTCACCCAGGGAGTGCCCCTTTGGTCTGCTTTAAAAGTGGATGAATAGGGTGTTCTGCTAGAATTCAAATGACAAGTTCTGGATTTTTTTTAACTGTGTGTGTGTGTGTGTGTGTGTGTGTGTGTTTAAAAAAAAACCTACCTCTTACTATGCTTTAAACTTCACCCTTTAGAAGAATTATTTCAGCTTCTCTTAGGTTTTAACAATTAAAATTATAATTCATTGAAATGAAGAGACAAAACAAAGGCTGTGTGTTTATTTGTTGATTTTTAAGCTGAAATTTCTTTCTTGTGAAGAGCTTAAGGAAAAATAGAAGGAATTCAAAATCAGTTGTCATGAATTTTGCTCACCTTCTGACAACTTGCCTTAAGAGATCCAGCCCACTTGAAATGCTGCTTTAATGCAACAGCTTTGTTTGCTGGTCTTTAGGGGAAGAGCTATTTAAAAGACCTATTATTTTAAAAGGAATTTTTGGTGTCATTTATTAGCAGGCCTAGCCCTGTTAGAGTGGTAATAAAATGAGCTAGTGGTTTTGCAAGTTTGGAAGCCAAGAGCTTTTCAGAAATTGATTATTGATTCTGGCAGTGTGGAGTGTGAGTGTATGGATAAGGGCAGTATCTAGGGAAAATCATTAGTTTGGTTTTTCCTTTTTACTCACTTGAGCGCGTTGCATTGAGAAAGAAGAGCCGACTTGACAGATAGGCTGCTGGTCAGAAATGTATTATCCAGGTTTACTCTTGCTTTATGTGTGTCATATGGCCTAGGAAAATTATACGAGGCTCAGATTTACCAGGGCAGACTGTAAATGGCCATATACTGTCATGGAAAGATGGTGCCTACAAATGATAGAGAACTAATAGAGCAAAATAAACAATGTCTTATTATGAAAATCTGCCATACTTGCACATAAATTATGCTTATGATCTGTTTAACTGTCACAAAGTAAGTCACTGTTCAGTTTTATTCCTGAATACTTCTGTATTAGATTCCTCCTGATTCTTAGAAGGAGACCAATTACCAGATGAATGTGTGAGAATTTTAATTGGTCCTTTCATCTTGATTTTGCAAATCTTCGGCAATGCTATTTCTTTGGAGTAACAAGCTTACATTTTACTTTTACCTCTGAACATGGCTCCTTATAATTACAACTTTACGCAGTTCAACCCTTCTGAACACCCTTCTTTTTTTTATTAGTTCTGGACATTTTAAGTTTTATTCTCCACAGAGGTAATAGTCAAAAAAGCATTTACCTCAGCTCAGCAGATAGAGTAAACCCAGTTACTTAGTTATCCTAAGGACAGGTCTGGAACATCAAAATTCTACCTTCCTCATCAGAAATCAGGCTCAAGGAAATTATGTGCACATGAATTTTTGTTTGTTTTGTACTGTTCAGTCTATTTTCCAAAAATCACTCTGAATCCTGATCCCATAATGAAAGAGGTCAGTGCCTCCTTGTCCCTGTAGGCAGTCTTGTTGTTATGTGCCGTCGAGTCGGACCCGACTCATAGTGACCCCTCCTTGGGTTTCCGAGGCGGTATCACTATGGAAGTAGATTGCCCAACCTTCCTTCCGAGGAGTGGCTGGTAGGTTTGATCCACCAGCCTTCTGGTTAGCAGTCAAGTGTTGGTCTTCTTATTAATGGGTATATGCATCCTTACTCATCGATTTCTGTCCCTTTCACAAAACCTTGAGGAGAATTCCACACCATTTTTATTGTTGTTCTTCCTGCTTAGAGGGAAAGGATGGCCCTTTTGTTTCTGACTCAAGCAGTTGCGGGATATACTGTCATCACCCAATACTGAGAGCAGGTTAATCTCACTTTTTTTTTTTCCCTCCAATTTCTTGTTTTATTGCCAGAGGATGAAAAGGGAAAAAGAAGAAGGTTGTACTGATATAGTACATAAAACCAATCTATTTTGAAGCTCACTAGATTTCCCATCTCCAAGAGGATCACTGGGCACATGTCTATGATCACAGTCCTCCAGGCAGTGGGATACCCCCTCTCACACCACTGTGGTCAGCCACCCCTCATGTATAGTGTTCACTGGATTCATATTATCTTTTGTAGTTCCAGGGCTAGTTATAATTGAGTCTTTGGTGCCAGTTACAAGGGTTCTCTTCTGACCTCTACTGGTCTGGCATATATGATGCCATTAAACCAGTGCCTCTTCCAGATGACATTTTCTCTTACTTTTGTTGTTATTTGCTGTTGAGTCTGCTCCAAGTCATGGCGACCTTACCTATAACAGAGTGAAACATTGCCTGGTCCTGCACCATCCTCATAACCTTTGGTATATGTGAGCCCATTGTTGCAGCCACCAAGTCAATCTAACTTGTGGAGGATTTCTCTGTTTACTGATGAACATACCACACAGGAAAACAACAATGTTTTTGAGTATCTAAGAAAACTCAAATCTGTCACTTGCTTCCTATCTGATCTTCAGTTTCTACCAACTGGTTTTCTTGTCTTTTTCTGGGCCTTAGTTTTCCTCAGGGCAGTCTTGTAATACTGGTGTAGAACTGCCTCTTAGAAATGTAAAATGGAGAGCATTTTGAGACTGAAAAGCTGAAATTAACCAGATAACTAATATGAATTGATTTAGGGTGCATTTTGTTTAAATTAAAGTGCCAAGAGGAATTACTTTAGAAAATTACTCTAATTTTATAAGCCAATAAGTATATAGCCATCCATCTCACTAATTATGTGAAACCCTGTAAGGGAAGCATCTCATAGTATGTAGGATCTTGGAGGAGTTTTAGGGCTCATTGTTAGACTCCTTACTATTATGGTAGCTCTGACTTGACCCAGGTATGTTTACTTCTTCATTTATGAAGAATTTATCCTATATTCTCTGAATCTTGTTTGTCTCAGTTACTTAGTGCTGCTATAACAGAAATACCTCAAATAGATGACTTTAACAAACAACTTTATTCTTTCACAGTTTAGGAGCCTTGTTGTTGTTGTTGTTGTTATGTGCCGTTGAGTCGGACCCGACTCATAGCGACACCTCCTTGGGTTTCCGAGGCAGTATCACTACAGAAGTAGACTGCCCCATCTTCCTTCTGAGGAGTGGCTGGTGGGTTTGAACCGCCAGCCTTCTGGTTAGCAGTCAAGTGCCTTAGGCACTATGCTACCAGAGCTCCCTTTTAGGAGGCTAGAAGTCTGAATTGAGGGTACCAGCTACAGGGGAAGCCTTTCTCTTTCTATTGGCTCTGGGGGAAAGTCCTTATCATCAATTTTCTCTTGGGTCTAGGAGTTTTCCCGGTACAGGGACCCTGGGTCCAGATGATATGCTCTACTCCTGGTTCTTCTTTCTTGGTGGTAGTAGGTCTCTCTCTCGCTCTCTCTCTCTCTCTCTCTGCATACTTCTTTCTCCCTTTTTCTCTTATAAAAGTGATACAGGCCATACCCACAGGAGAATTCCCCACACATCAGGGTTGTGACCTGATTTTGGGTGTCACACCCCACCCTAATCCCTTTACAACTGATTGGGTTATCATGTCAGATGTCAGATCACATCATGGGAGATCACTGCATAACTGCCAGATTACATCATTCCATAACTGTCAAACTACTGAGAATCATGGCCCAACCAAGTTGACACATATTTTGGGGGGACACAATTCAATCCATGACAGTGATCTTAGTTTATACCTTTTATATATTTTAGCCCTGTTTTTGTTTAGGTAGCCAGGTAGTAGAATTAATATCTTGCAAGCCTGATAGCAAAGCTTACCTATTACAATGGTTTCTTTTTGTCCTCCCATTCACTCTTGCCTATTTCATGTTCTTTATTTTGGGATGAGATTTTATGACTATATAACCAAAGTTCTTTTCTCTGTAGGGTATTTTCCCTGAAACATATATCCATTTGAAAGAAGCAACTGTGGAAGACCGAGGGTAAGTTCCAACCAAAGAAGACTCCTGAAAATGATGAAGATGTAAAATTATCATTAAAGAATGTCTTATGTACTTAAGTATCTCATCAGTTCCACTTCTCTTATGAACAAGACATGAATAAAAACTTATTCCTGACATAATTCCTTTCTCTGTATTCTCTTTCCTCTCGTCTGATATCCTAAACTGATAAGTCATTTAACCTTAGTGCTCCTTGGGCTTTTACATTGAAAATTGGGAGAACACAAATCTGGCCCTGTGTTGATCATGATCTTGACGTGAGATTTAAATAAAATAATGTATGTGAATGGGCTCCCCAAATAAAATCTGTGAAGTTTTGGATATTCTTATTCCTTGCCCACTTTACTATTTATGCTAGAAAGTACTACCTCTATGGCAGCTGAGAAGAGTGAATACACAGCATGAAGCCTGGAAGAGAGAACTTGTAATTGATTAGCCTTCTAGCAAGAAAATTCAGGAGGTGATAAGGAGAGCCTGGAGTTAGACTGGAATCTCAGAGTAGATAGAGAACGGAATGGGACTGAGGGAATAAAGGGCAACCGGGTCACAGACTCACATAGACTCAGCACTAGAAAGAACATCCTCAGTCATACATTCAGCACTCTTTCTGTAGACAAGAAATGGAGACCTGTTCAAATTCACATAACTCTGGTAGGAGAACCAGGACCAGAAGCCAAATGTCTTGCCTTCCTGGAGAATTCCTCCCTCTAATGGGCTATCCTAGGCAGCTTCCACTGTTGCTAACCACAGTGATGGAGAGGGAGAGTGGAGACATGTACTCAGTAAATGGGCTTGCCAGATAAGATTTCAGGATGCCCAGTTAAATTTGAAATTCATGTTATAAGAAGTAAATTTTGTACTGTAAATATGCCCCCAATGTTATAAGACATGCTTGTACTAAAACTTTATTTGTAATATAGCCGAAGTTCAAATTTATCTGAGTATTCTGTGTATTTGTCTGCTATATCTGACAGTCCTACCCCTCATCCCCATTTGTTTGCCTACTCTCACTCTCTCCTTCTTTCTATTTGCTAATCATACAAATATCAGAGAGAATTTATGTGAACAAATGTAAAAGCAGCATTTTTATAAGCCGAATGTAAAGGGGGAGCCCCTGGGTGGGGCAAATGCTTAAACACTTGATTACTAGCTGGGAAGTGGGCAGCTTGAAGCCACTCAGAGGCACCTGAGCATTCTGCTTCTGAAAGGCCACAGCTTTGAAAACGCTACAGAACTGTTCTACTCCACACATACGGGATTGCCGTGAGTTGGAACCGACTCGACGGCAGCTAGCAACAACATTACTGAGGCTTTGGGTATATGTAAGTTTTCTGTACTATGAAACAGCAGATGAGAAGAAAAGCCACTCCCATTTCAAGAGAGAGCATTGCCTTGTTTCCAGCCAGCTGTTTCAGTTTGTGATCCCATGCCTCAGGGCTTTTTTTTTTTTTTTTTTGACCATGTGCCCTCTCCACCACATTCTCTTTAATGAAATGGACACTTGGCAGAACTGACTCAAAATAATGAATTTTTGCTTCCATTCCTTGTCGGTAACTTAGGTTCTCATAGAGATCCCAAATGGCGAGGTACAAGCTAACCTTTTGGCTTATTTCATGGCAGAAACTCTGTTCATCTTGAGAACTGTGGCATTCTCAGCTCTTTTCCTTTCCTTTGATAAACTCACTGCTGTTGAGTTGATTCAACTCATAGTGACCCCTTCTTGGGTTTCTGAGGTGGTATCTATGAAAGTAGATTGCCCAGTCTTCCTTCCGAGGAGTGGCTGCTGGGTTTGAACTACCAGCCATCTGAATAGCAGTCAAATGCCTTAGGCACTATGCCATCAGAGCTTTGTTTCTTTGATACATAAATACAATTAAAATTCCTTACACAAAACCTCTTGATGGAGAAATTTTGCTTTGTTTCATCTTCATTCTGAGGAGTGGCTGGTGGGTTTGAACCACCAGCCTTCTGGTTAGCAGTCAAATGCCTTAGGCACTATGCCACCAGAGCTTCCACACAAAATCCCTCAATGGAAACATTTTGCTTTGTTTCAAGCACACACAGTCCCATTCCTAACTTTGAGTTTGGAAATATGACCTCCCTCAAGAAAGCAGCAATGATCAATACAAGGTAAAGTGAGCTTCTGTTTGGTTCCCTTTAGGCAGAATGAGACTGTGATTCCAGGTGAGCTTCCCCTGGTGCAGGAGCTCACTTCCACTCTGCGAGAATGGGCTGTCATCTGGCGCAAGCTGTATGTGGTAAGTTTCCCCTGGGACTTGGAGCCTGCAGGATTACTCTTGGGCCTCAGACTGACTGTTCATCTCTGCAAGGTGTTTGTCACTTATTATCTCTGCACAGAGTGGGACTCGTCTTACCTGGACTACACCATGTCTGATAACCAGATTTCCTCAGAATAGGATCATTGATAATACAGAGCAACGGAGGAAGAAGACATAATTAAGTCATTTTTCCCCTCTCAACTGACAAACATCTCGATTGTAAAAGTAATAACGGTGATAACAATTTTAAACACTTAACCAAGTGCCGAAAAGATCTTCTCAACATCCCTACAAGATAAACCAAAAAACACCAAACTCATTGCTGTTGAGTTGGATCTGACTCCTAGTGAATCCTCCTTGGGTTTCCGAGACAGTATCACTAATGGAAGTAGATTCCCCAGTCTTCCTTCTGAGGAGTGGCTACTGGGTTTGAACCACCAGCCTTCTGGTTTGCAGTCAAATGCCTTAGGCACTATACCACCAGAACTCCCTCCTGTAAGATAGGTATAATTATTATCAATTTATGGTTGAGGACACTGAGATGTGCTCTTGATGCTGACATGTATATTTGTGAACATTTCATTGCTAAGCCAGATGAGGGCTAACATGAGGGTTGCATTGTCTCTGTTGGTGAATGTATGTTACAGATTCAGCAACATGAGTTGTTTTAAAACGTGACCTGAAGATTTTTGTTTTTGAGACCGACCCTCAGACCTCAGCCTCACACTGGTTTGACCATAGAATGCTAATGAGATATTCCAGATCAGTAGGACATTACACAAGACCCAACACATTATCTACATGATAAACCATAATCAGAAGTTCCATGTAGGTCCGCAGTCAGGACAAGGTAAGTCTAGTAGCCAATATTATCAAACTGAGAGAAACTACAAAGCCACCTTAACAGAAGGGTAGGATGCTCAAGTTTGTTGGCAGCATGCCTGCACTTGTCACATGAGGAAGCACTTTCCTAGTTGGTGGAATGCTCAAAAACTCTTCTCAAGTTCTTTCTTTCTTGACTTCTGGTAAGATGGAGGAATAGGCAGATAAGCTACACAGACCCTCTTCAACAAAGAAAAGAGAAACTAGTTGACAGAGATACAAAGATAATCCTGGAGCCCTGAGCTTTGAAAGGAACTATACAAAAGTGGATTAGGCACCAACTAGTGGCGCTCTGGTAGTGTAGTGCCTAAGGCACTTGACTGCTAACCAGAAGGCTGGTGGTTCAAACCCCCCAGCCACTCCAGAAGGAAGGTTGGGCAATCTACTTCTGTAGTGATATTGCCTCGGAAACCCAAGGAGGGGTCACTATGAATCACGTCCAACTTGAGGGCACATGACAACAACAACAACAACAGTGGAAAAACCTGAACAAAAATAGTGAGTATGGAGATGATCGGAGCAGTGGACTATCAGCTACTCTGACGGGACCAATAGCCTGAATATTTCCAAGTGGTGTTGGGACCTGAGAATTTGTGCTGGTGGCCTATGATTAGGAAGGGAAACAGTAAGTAGGGAAGAAACCTGGGCTGTGGACTTTTGGCTATCTGGAGGGCGAATCCATTTTGATTGTTTACAAGTGGTGGCCACTTTGGATATTTAAAGCATCCAAGGGAACAGCCATTTTGAGTCTTTCCAAGTGGTGGCCTTTTTGAATTTTAAAGTGACAGCATTCTCATTCGGATTCCAGGAATCTCAGAATAGGCTCCATTTGCCAAGGGTGGCAGGGACATGTGAGAGGCTGACAATAGGAGAGGAGACAGGTGATGAGTGTATAAGTGCTGCCAACTAGCAAATAGAGGAGCACAGCACAGTACCCTGCTTATGTAGATAACATCCAAACAAAACAAAGAAAATGAAAATCGTGGGCAAGTCACTCAAACATGCAATCACCAATTAAATATAAACATGAAAATGTCACAATTCCTTGAGGCAACAGAGCATCACAGTCCACACAAAGAAGCAAGATAAAGCAGGAGAAATAAGGGACAAGGATACAGACCCAAAACACATCCCTGAGGAAGAAGCGGCATTGGAACTCCCTGATAAGGAATTCAAAAGAATTATATTTAGGTGCCTTCAACGAATTGAGCGACAGATCAAGTAAAACACTGACAAATTTGAGGAAAGCACAGAGAAAACCCTACCACAACTTTGAAAGACAATATAAGAACAGAATGACAAAATAAATGAAAAATTAGAAATGATATAAAATCTACACACAGAAATCCAGAAGATTAATACTAAATTTTCATAAATAATTAACACGTTGAATGGGCAAAGGAATAGAATTGTATCAATGGAAGATAGAATTAATGAGGTGGAAGAGAAATACCTGAATACTTCTTTGGAAAGGGATCAATCAGAAAAATGATCAAAACAAAATGAAGAAAGGCTAAGGTTCATGTGGGATACCATCAAAAAGAATAACCTGTGTGTAATCAGAATTCCAGAACAGAAAGAGACAAAACCACAGAGAAAATTGTCAAAAATTTGTTGAAAAAGAATTTTCCTGGTATGATGAAAGATGAGACTATATTCATTCAAGAAGTCCAATGAACTCCAAACAGAATAGATGCCCCCCAAAAAAATCACCAAGACATAATATCATCAAACTCATCAAAACTGAAGACAAAGAATCATGAAAGCAGCACAAGAAAAACAAAAAGTTACCTACAAGGGGCAACCAATAAGACTAAGCTCGGATTTCTTGGCAGAAACTATGCAAGCAAGAAGACTATGGGATGGTATACATAAAACACTGTAAGAGAAAAATTTCCAAGCAAGAATTATATACCCAGCAAACTTCTCCCTCAGATATGGTAGTGAAATTAGGACATTTCCTGATAAGCAGAAATTAAGGGAATTTGTTAAAACCAGACCAACCTTACAAGAGATGCTGAACAGTCCTTTGGACAGAGAACCAACAACAGCAAACAACCACCGACCATTAACACACATGGTGACGTAACCCAGAAACCAACCCAGTTATAGAAGTATCCAAAGTAAATAAGCCTACAACATTGTAAACAGGGAACCAGAGACATCAATTGACAAATGAGGACAACTACAAAACACGAGGGAGCTCTGGTAGGATAGTGCCTAAGGCACTTGACTGCTAACCAGAAGGCTGGCTGTTCAAACCCACCAGCCACTCCTCTTCTGAGGAGATTGGGCAATGTATTTCTGTAGTAATACTTCCCTGGAAACCGAAGGAAGGGTTGCTATGAGTCAGGTCCAACTCCATGGCACATAACAACAACAACAACACCACAAACCACAAACAGGGAAAAAATTATGTAGTTACAGAACTTCTAAATGGTAGGGAAGTCAAGACAACTACAAGGTAGAATGAACTGTTCTAAACTGGGAAGAAAACCATAAATCACAGGGTAACCTCAAAGAAAAATGACAAACCTTCACATCAAAATAAAAAAGAGGACCAGCACAAATATTTAGCTAATGCTAAAGCAATAGCAATGAAAGAAGTGATAACACGATTCATAAACAAAACGAGCTCAGCACAGAAAATTATATGGAACAAAGAAATCAATACCATGAAAAAGCACATAACAAAATGACAGCAACAAATCCATACTTGTTGATAATTACATATCTGGCAAGGGACTTACCTCTAAGATTTATGGAAAACTCCAATGCCTCAATAGCAAAAGGATTAACAAGTCAGTAGAAAAATGGGCAGAAGACATGAATAAGACACTTTACCAAAGAAGATATTCAGGTGGCCAGCAAATACATGAAGAGATGCTCACAATCACTGGCCATCAGAGAGATGCAAATCAAAACAACAATGAGATACCATTTCACCCCAGCAACTGATGGCAAGGTTCAACAAGATAGAAAATAACAAACGCTGGTGGGGATGTGGTGAGATTGGGACTCTCATACACTGCTGGTGGAACTCTGAAGTGATACAACCACTGTGGAAAGCAATATGGCGATTCCTTAGAAAGCTGGAATTGGAAATACCATTTGATCCAGCAATCCCATTACTAGGTATATATCCTAGAGAGGTGAGAGCCAGGTCAGGAACAGTTATGTGAACACCCATGTTCATTGCAGCACTATTTATGACAGCAAAAAGATGGAAACAACCTACGTGTCCATCAGTGACATAGTGGCTGACCAAACTATGATCCGTGCACACAATGGAATGCTATGCAGCACTAAAGAATAATGTAGAGTCTGAAAAACACTGAATAGCATAGATGAACTTGGAGGAAATTATGCTGAGTGAAATAAGTCAATCACAGAAGGACAGATATAGTATTAGTTCATTGTTTTGAAGAGTCAAGGAAAGGTTTATATATGGAGGGAAACTTTCTTTGTTGGTTGCCAGGGGTGGGAGGGGAGGGGAGGGAACACTGTGGGGGGAAAACAATTCCATTGACCCATGTCACTTTACTTTTTTGTGTATTTCACTGTACATAAATTGTATTTCAATAAAATGCATTTTTAAAAAAAGTTAACACTTTCTTAAGACCTAGTAGGTAAGCATCACCAGGCCTTCTCTCTGTAAGTGTCTTACATGCTTCCATAACTAACAAAAAATCCCTGTGATGAAGGTATATTCTCTCATTAGCTGTGTGAGTGGGTTCTGTCAGGTTATAAGACTAGACTTGAAGGCCTGAGAGCCTTCTCCTTCCTTCATGTGGCTTTGTTTATCTAGCCTTTTGTTCAGTCGTGTATTGATTCTTCATTTTCACTCTCAAAGACCAATCTTATGAGGTTGTTGGGAACTTACTCAGTACTAAAAGCAGTAATCAAATGTTCATTCAAACATAATTTCTAAAAGCTAATGTACAATATTTTATTTCTGTTTAGGGCTGTTGTTTCCCATGATGAATCATAGCAGTAGAAATCACCAGCGCCTTTAGGGGAAACATGTATGCTTTTTCCCTGCCTGCCCATCCTTCAAGGCCTAGATCAAGTCCTTTACTTCTTCATAATGTGGCTTC